TTCCAGTACTGTCAGCTGTTGGGATCCCCCTGTCACCCCAGAAATAGAGATAGGTTCTGTCCCTACAGATCTTGTTGGCATCAGGGTACACTGTGTGCCAGTGTCAACTAAAGCCTTACACTCTTGTGGATCTGATGTGCCAGGCCATGGGATCCACACAGTCCAATAAATCTGGTTGTCACTTTCCTCCTGCTGAAGGCAGAGCCCCTCTAGTTCTAGTCATAGTAGTCATGGTTTATGTCTTGTAAATAAGAAATGGCTGTCCTTTCAAGAGGATCAGAAGTAACATTCCATTCCATTTTTTGTCTGACAACTTTCTGACTGGAAACTGGAACAGCATTTATCCTTGAAGAATTTCCTGTGATGGTTGTCCTTCCTCTCAATTCACACACCTGTGCTGCTAGGGCAGAGATGGGTTTTCCATGCAACTTTCTCACATCTTCTCTGTGGTCAAGTAAAACTGCATGTTATCTCATGGTATGTACCCTTTCTCTTGAGCCAGTGAGTGCATGCTTCCAATAGCAGAGACTATGGTCCATACTGGAGGGGCATAGGACATTTCCTCTCTAACATGCTTGAATCTTTCCAGTCTCTCCGCAGCCAGGAAGGAAAAAGATTATTTCATATTGCCATAGTACTGTAGTCACCTGAATCCCTCTTTGTTATATTCCTTTGAGTGACATCAATGCTAAGGAGTTGGTGTACAACAATTGTATGCTGCATACAAACTTCTGCCACATGGATTGTGTAAGCTGGACCTGATCTGAGTCTACACGAGACTGCTTGTTATTTGAATCCTTATAGGTTACCCCCTATTTCTATAGGTTACCAGATAATTCTCTCAGATACAGTTCTCCACAGCTTTCCCCCTGCTTGACCACACTACTAGAACATACTTGCAAGAATTAATACCTTTCTCTCACACTTGATGGGAGTTGCTCCAGAGGCTAAGAGTTTCTGTCCTCTTCCCAATCCCTTTGTCAATGCCCACATCCCGGGACAGGGATCCCAGTTGTGTGGCTTCACTATCAGGGTTAGGTACCACAACCTTGTGAATAGACCAAGCCACTGTGACCAGTGGCTCCATACATAGTAAAACTAATGCTTAGGTCAAATTTGTTTCCAGCACTCTGTTTTGGGACGCTTTATGTCCACATCTGTTGTTATCTCAATTCTTTGAGTCCCACAGTGGGTGCCAACTAGGCTGTTTTGGTTTAGGAATGGTATTCTTCAATTTAGAAACAGCAATGAGATAAGAAAGTTCAAGAGAGAGGAAGTGCTTCACATGCAAATGCTCACCGAACACCACCCCAACCCATAAAACAGCCCTTCCTCCATCCCTGGAAAATAAAGTGAGATGGAATAGAATAACCTCCAGGTCCTCACCATGCCACCTAGGCTACTGCAAAAATTAACCCTGTCCTGGCCAGAACTAGGACATCAATTTGTGAGAAGTGTGTGTGTTTTCCTCCTAATGTCAAGTAGGAATGTACTCATTGATCTAGTACTAAATAACTTCAATGAAAACAAATCCATGCTTCATGGTAAGCTTAATGGTTTTCCTGAAGAGGAAATTAATACTGCATCTGAGCTTTATACACAGTTTTATCTAAAAGTATTGTTATTCATCTTACAAAACTAAAGTAGAATTTGTTGACTGAAATTAAAATATTATTTTAAATATATAAAATAATAGTTCTGTCTTCATCACATATGTAAAATAAATCAAAACTTAGAGGTTTTGTGGTCTCACATCTTAATGTGAGGTAATCTTAATTCCCTCACGAGTCTTTGGCAGTCATCTATATTAACACATCTAGTATAACTTCGAGCTAGAAAAGCATAAATATGCACAGATTTCCCCCTAAAATTAATGTTAAAATCACCCTACTTGCATAAGACTCTTGGGTAGAAAGACAGAATCAGTTGCAGATATGAGCTATCTTCTTCCACCCAGTAAAAGATTCTTGGTTTGAAAAGCAAGTAAAAAAAGGGGGCTTACTGTAGTGCCTTTAAAAACAGATACCATTTTTTAAAATTGTCAGAACTCTTAAAGATTTGTCATATTTTTCCCTTTTACATTTAGATTTACTATAGGACATGAAGTTATTGGGCTTTGTAGGGAAACTAAGCACTTAAGTGCTAGCACTGCTTAGGTTAATAATTCATACTGGAGAAAAGTATCCTATACACTCCTTAAGTCATCTGTTTGCTCTTACCTTTTTTTTTTAATTCTTTAAATGCTTTTTATCAATTACTTGAGAGCCTTGTAACTATCACACAGATCTCACTGATATGTCTAGATTTGTGGGTCTGTCAACAGTTGGCCCACTATGAACTATAATTTTGATCAGTTCACTTCTTTTAAAGTAAGGGCAAAGTAAGCCTTTTTCACATCCATCACAACAATGTAAGTAGAGTTCTATAAAGTACAGCTACACAAATATAGTTTTATGATTCTAGAGCTAAGTACAGTGACATATATGCCATCTTTTCCTAATTTGAAAGATATATTTGTTTCCCAAATTAGAATTTCTACTATGGAAGTAATGTTTATAGGGAATATATCAAACACTAGCTTCCTAAGAGGCATAATAGCCAGTGCTAATGGTGCTAGAGAAGAAAGCTTCATATCATTTATAAGGTTCTTAAAAACATCAGAGAAAAAGCAACATAACTGTGTTAGTATTTTCCTACTTCCTTGCCCAATCCTCCACACTCCCTCTCAACTGCAGAAAAGAAAATATTTTCCCTAGCTTTACCTGTCTGAAGAACTCCTCTAGCAGAGACATGGTCCAGCGATGATGGAGATCCCAGGCCTTGGCTGGATGACTGATATCTGCTGTATGCAATAACAGTGATAAGGCTTTCGGCTTGTCAATTCTGAAAACCCAAAGGATCAAAAGAATTAATTGTCTGCTCTTGCAGGGAAGAATGCCAACAATCTTACCTACAGGAAAATAAGGAAATTAGAATCTTTGACCAGGATATTTGTGAAGTGGTTTTCCTGATCATAAAATCAGACAACTCTGAAAGACTGTCTTATTTCTCTAACATACATGATTCCTGTTTTAAAAGAGATACTAAGAAATGTGAAAATAAATATTGCTCAGCCTTGCTAAGCAACTTTCCAGGCTTGGCTGTCCACACTAGCAGTCTTGAAGAGCTGCTCTGTTCCCCATTTCATAGGTGCTGTATTTTATGCAGCTCAGAAGAGAAGATGGTCCCTGTCATCCCACTGTAATGAACAGTGGGGATCTCTGGGGCTCTGACAAGTCTACTCAATAACTGATAAACGTTTCACTGATAGAAAACTAGCGTGAGTACAGAAGGGAACCTTGATTTCACAGAAAGAAATGCTGGTGGTTTCTTATGACCATAACCTAAGAGGCTAGCCCAAGAACCCAGTAAATAATGCTTTCTTGGGATGGGTGTTCTCATTTTTGAATTCCACTTTTTGGCTATCCAAAATGGTTGAAAGAGTTGTAGCTTCTGAGGGGATCAGGTGGCTAGGCCCACCCTGCTCTGACACAGGTGTAATTCTGATATAGATACAATTCTGATACAGGTATAATTCTGGGAGGCTCTGGACATAACTGTGTCCAATATGAAAAACCGACCATCACTCAGAGCAATACAGAAGAGATTTTTTGGGGAAGAGCTGTTGACAAAATATTACAGCTCCCAGTGGCCTACTGGGAAGAAGAAAAGGCTTCCCCTATAGTGCTCCATCTGTTATTTTCCAGTCCTTCCCTCAGTGGATCTCAAGTTTTCATTTGTTCTCTGGTTGTGAACCAGGCCCCTTCCAGGGGTGACCAGCTGGTGATTCCAGCTGCATAAGGGCAAAGTGAAAGTTACTTTCTGCAGTCCAATAACTTTAAATCATGCTCAATTATAGAGGTTACTCTAATGAATCATGTCTTTGATGTTATCCACCAGGGAAATGCCCAGCGAGGCTGGTCCCAACAATGGTGACATTTGAAAGCTTTGGGCTACTAGCACAGAATATAGATGTGCATATAAGCATGCACTCATCCCTTCCTAAGTGAATTAATTCAAAACTCAACAGCAGAAAGAAAATTGCTGTAGATATCAAAGAAAGAAAGGGCCTCTGGAGAGGCACTTTTGAAGTTAAACACATTGGCAAAGCACCAGCTGAAATGCAGCCCCCTCACTGCACTATGTTGTGAAGTAACTTACCCTTCTGGCTGCTGCAAAGCATTCTTCATAGCTTTGATTTGCTGGAAGTGACAGGACATATCGGTAGCCAGCACCATCTCAATGACTAGAGCTCTAAATTCCCTTTTGGATAGCATCACAATGGGAGCAGCAAGGAAAGAGAAGCACAAAAACCAGCATTAGACACACTCCAGTTTCTTTTGTTATCTGCAAATTATTGACAGCAATGCTTTTGTATTTAACTCTTCATTCCTCTTTCAGGGATAGGGAAGAGGACCAAGGATTTTCTGCACAAACACAGAAATGGGAGGGATGCAAATGAAGATATGTGGCTAATCCTTGGTAAGAGAAATATTAGATGTTTCCTGAAGAGCACACTGGTATTAGTACTCCTTTTTCAAATAAGCACAAACTTCTTCAATTGTTTTTTTTTTTTTTCTAGGGCATTCTTAGAAGGGAGGGGAAAGAGTGTTTAAAGCATCAAAATTAGGTAACTTGATTCAACTGGTCGATATGCATGTTTAAAGTTGAGTCATATGGTGGAAAATCACCACATTAAAAAAAGCCTGCCTGGTATATATGATGCATATATGAAATAAAGACTTTTGAGAACCAAGAATACTTCCCTACTATTATTAATTCAAACTATTCGTGTATGAGATTTTGTTAAGCAAGCTTTCTGTTCTGTTTTGTTGTTTGGTTTTTTTTGGACTAGAGTTAATTATCTTCTTAGCTGGTACAGTGCTGTGTTTTGGGTTTAATATGAGATTAATATTGATAACACATTGATGATTTCATTGTTGATAAATAGTACTTACTTCAAATCACAGACTTTTGAGTTTCCCATACTCTGGCAGTGAGCAGGAGCACAGGAAGTTGGGAGGGAGCATAGCCAGGACAATTGATCCAAACTGGCCAAAGGCATACTCTATACCATAGAACATTCCCAATATATAAACTGGAGCCAGTGATCACTACTTGGTGACAGACTAGGCATCAGTCAGCAGGTGGTGAGCAATGGTATTGTCATCACCTGTTTCTCTTACATGTTATTTCTCTCTCTCTCTCTCATGTTTTCATGACTCTTATTATAATTATCACTATCATCATCATCATCAATAGTAGTAGTATTACAACACTAGTTTAGACTCCAGTTGAAATTTCTCTGAAGATGATATGGATGTCCTAAACAGTTTAAAATACCAGAATGTTCTGATCTACAACACAATACAAGTTTATTTTCTCTTTCTCTCAGTTCAGGTCTCTATAGATTAACAGAGGAAGAAGAGTTCCAGTTTAGCATACCAGATCAGGATTTGGAAGATTCAGAAATGGGTCATCATTCATTTAAAAATAAATCACTATTCTCCTTTTTATGAATGTCTCATGAAATCTATTTTGATGACTCCTCTCTTGCCTATAGTGCTGTGCTCAAATTCCAGCCCCAGGCCATCTGTGTACAGATCCAAGACTGCTGTGTTTACTTAGTCCCATGAGTGGCTTATAATGATGCTTCACCACCAGAGTTCTGCAACACTGATGGTATCAGTTGGCCTTGGTCTTCCCTCCCTCTAACCAGCTCCTCCTCCCAACCCACAAGTACAATCAGTTGCATAGTTAACAGCGTTCCATATGATGGATGATTTTTCCATGACCCCCCCAACCCCACCCCAGTCCTGGTCAGTTCCCAGCAGCACAAACATCTCTGTCAATACAACCAAGAGAGAAGAACCTGAATGCATAGAAATATACTTTTACAATAATATGGTGTGATTATGCTGCAGGAACAATTAATGCTGGGAAACAGCAGACTTTTCACTACATCCTCTGGACTACATATTCCATCATACTGCTCTGCATGGGCTACTTCATGAGTAGTTTATTGCACTAGGAATACAAAAGCAAAGGGCTTTGTTCAGGCAAATGAGTCAAAGATTGCAGTGCAAGAAGGTACATATGCTTGCAAGCACACAGATACTACTTTCCCTTTCATAAATGTAAATCTGGAACATGCACATCCTCTGACCTCTGCGTATATTTCAGATCATCATTTTCTCTGAAATGGAGATGAAAAATACTTCAGAGATGGTAAAAAATAAAGAATTTACCTATTGAAAAGTTCTTATTTGTTACTTCAAACAAAGGCATCACAACAGCATGTAACTTTGAAAATTAATAGGTAAAAGTTATAGGTAATGCATGGAAGATCTCAGAAGATGTAACACTAGAGGATTATAAGCTTGTGCATTTGGTACTAAGTTGATATAGTTCTGAAATTCATTACAGAGTGAATCAAAGATAGATATTTTTCCATTTATTCGTTTTGCATCTGAGTCAGATTAGAGTCTGGGATACACACAGCTGTTATTTTTGCTCTGACCATCTTGACCACTTTGTTTCTGCAATCGTCTTCGAAGTCTACACTACACATTATGGTGCTGCACTCTGCATGCTCCCTAGCAGCTCTGGCTAAATAGACCCCAGAAATATTTTACAAGATGTGTTTCCTCTGAAGTGTCTTTGACTATATTTAGTTATTCTAATAATGCACAAAAAGCCTGTTAATAATTTACATTACATACTTTCAGAGTGATTTGGTTTTCACCTGGGCTAAAATTTTTCTAGTAGAGAAGCACAGTATATAAAAGCAGAGGAGAAGCAAGTCAACTGAAACAGTTTCCAATTATTCTTGTTTTTAGAGAATATATTTGACAAACTCAAAGAAGAAATTAGGTAAGAGAAGAGGCTGCACTACTTCTAAATATCAACATATTGCTACTGTCCAAAAAAACTGTCCAAACCATAGCACTTAGGCTTTATAAATATTATTATTGACATATGGTGAGCAGGCAGGCAAATTCAGATCTCTCTTCATGTTATTGTGAAACAATGAAGTCAGATATCCCCCAGGTATTTGTGCAATATCATGTTCTCCTTTATTCTATAGTATTCAAACACAGTTTTGTATTCAGGAAGAAGTTAATGAAGAAAAACTGAATCCAAGGAAAGAAGTAGTGCAAGCTGATAAAAAAGGAAAGATGATTATGCCCCTATAATCTGCCCACTATATCAAACTGGTAAATTTGGACATGTCCTTGAGTTAATCTCTTTGAGAAAGTCACAGACGCATCATGTTAAGTATTCACAAATGTGGTCATATCAGAACATTTTCCAATAAAGATAGCTTGCCTGTCAACTCAGGCCCAGGAAATACCCTGGAGACAAGCTTCCATTGGCACTTTAAGAGCTAAATCAATCTCCTGTTTTACTCCTGGTCATGTGGCATCATGTTATCAAGTATGGTAGGAATATGGAATAGATGTCCTGAGATCTCCATAATCCACAATGGTTTTCATTACAGGAAAATAACAGTGCCCTTCAATATCTCCTCCCCAGCTGCATACTCTCTCTCTCTCTCTCTTTCTCCTAAAAGACAGTAAAAATCCAACTCAAAGAAAAGACAATCCTCTAAAGATTCAGTCTGCACAGTGGCCGTGACAAAAAAAAGCATGAGCCATGGAAGAAAGGAGACTAGGAGAGAGTAGAGAGGTGACACCTTCCCCATGTCACCAGTGGACACTTCCAAAGCCTGTATTGCCTTCTGCCTCCTGATATGCCCTGAAAATAAGGAACTGAAGTGATCTGGTTAAATAAGGGCATGTTGGGATCTGCTGTCACCGCAGCAGCACAGACACAGCAAACCAGAAACACCTTCATGACCACCTCCATTTTCCTTCTTTCAACAACAGCATGATTTCTGTTTGCAGATTATTTGTTTATTACTTACAGCAGAGGAAGGGAAAGCACCTCCTTTCCTCCTTCACAGCTCTCAACAACTTTTACACAGCTCAGGTTACATGGGAATCAGCTGGCAGGGGAGAAGTACCTACACAACCTTCACTCTGATCACTCCCCCACAGCCTGTAACCAACATCAAATCAGTCCTGCCTTGACTAGAGCCACAACTCATCCACAACAATTCTTTGTGCAATGACAGGGCGGCCCTGCCTTCATCTTCAGCCACCCATTTTGTATCTGAGTCAAGAAGAAGCCAGGGACAGTAATGTCCCATGGGCCTTCCTGTTTTCAGACTAAATCCTCACCTCCAGGCCCCCAGGACCTCCAATCCAACAGATTCCTCTCATCACCCCTGCACAGAAGCTCAGAGGATGCCAGGCTCTCTCCTTCCCTCTGCTCCTCTTTGCTGCTTTGGGGTGTTTTGGTAAGACTAGCCAATAAGCAGTTAAAAAACAATAGTAAAAATACCCCACAAGTTAAAAAAAAATCTAGTAAAAACCTAACTAAAAAAACATTATTTAAGAAACAAAACCCCCCTGCTTTTCTTCCTTATTTGGCACTTTTGAGACTGCATGAGGACTCCAGTGTCTCATTCTGAACTCTCCAGAAGAGGAAAGACACTGCTATACTTGGTGTGGGCCCATTCCAGTGTCTTTAAGATGGTGAGCAGCTGGGGCATATGGCACATGGAGGAGGGCACAGGGACCTGCTGCTGCATTGTGCCTTTGGGAGAAGAGAAGGCTCATGGTTGGGTCTGACCAGTGAACTTCCAGTGCATTTAAATCGATTCCCTGGCCCAACACCTCATGTTTAGCTCCCACATGTACTTCACTATTGATAATTTCACTGTCTAGAAGAGGAAAGGCCTTTAAAGAAATAAAAATATAGCAGACATAATTTCCCCTGCTGGCATCTGCACTCTCTGTGGCAGAACACAAGGGATGGGTACAGTCTCTCCTTCCTTCTTGCTGAGTCTTAGTGATCAAAGTGTAAGCACATTCAGATGCAAGTATTCTTTGCCAATGTGCAGAGTAGTGTCACTGCATCTCTAGTTAATGAGATGTGGAGGAAAAATGCTTCATCTAAAAGGTAGAAATCAAACATAGATGCAGAGCATTGCTGTGAACACTGTCTTTACAGAAAAAAATACTTCTGTGAACTCCAGAGCTCCTCTGGCTTTAAGGTCTTTAACCTCACAGTCAGTAGGGAGCAGGCCAACTATCTTTTTACACCTTGGTTTTTAATCAACAGCTTTGTTTGGTTTGTTCCCTCATGGAGCCACGGAGTTGACTGGCAGGTATCCAGCACAGCTTACAGGAGCCCATGCTTGCAGCAAACCATGGAACACACTGTGACAGGCTTGGTGCACCTCAAGGAATTCATTATCAAGTTTGTTCTGAACATAAATAAAAACATTGGGACTTTTGGTATACTTTGTTTTGGTTTAGGGGGTTTATTTTCGGGTTTGGGTTGTTTTTCATTTTTAGCCTGCTACATTCTCTCTCTCCTCTTAGAGTAAAAGATGCCCAAATCATTCCAACTCTTACTCGTGTATTTTCATGTCCTTCCAGTTCTCTCTTTTTTAATGCTTGCCTTGCTTTATTGTGCCCTGAGACAGACTAAAAAACCCCATTCAGCCCTGGTAGCATCAGAGGCTAAAATGCAATAGCAGTCATTCATTCACATGTGTTCCTTTTCAACTAAGCTGGCTTACATAGAAACCCACAGACAATGAAGTCTGCTAACAGTGACAAGAATTTATAGAAGTCTTAAGCAGGAAAACTGACTGCACAATTACAATAGCTACATCTCCTAAACTGATTTATGTGGCTAATTTCTTTCAAAGTCTCAGCAATTTATTATTATAGAAATTAATAGGAAAACACTACATTAAAATAAATTTCATCATTGGCTGATTCTCGCTAAAAGTATAAACTCAGAATATGCATATGCCCATCCTGAGTGCCTAGGAACAAAATTTTACATGAAAATTTTACATGATCCTGCAACCATGCACACATTATTACTTATTAAAAAGAAAAAAGCATATGACCAAAGTTAGTTAAAATCATCATGGTTTCTCACCACAGTCTTGAAACAAATAACAGTGATTGACAAGGAGGGTTCAGAATTATCTGAGGGACAAAACACTAAGCAGCTTTACTGAGAAAGTCAGTTACTTCCTGAAGTTGTACTCCTATACAAAGCTAAAGAACCATAAATTTTCCAGATATCTTTTTTATTCAGTCTTTATTCAACCTCTTTATTTTATTTAATATTTTTATTTTATACTTGGCAGTAAAGGCTTCAATAAACTGCATGAAACTTATGAACAATTAAATACAGTGTCAAAATAGACATCTCTAACATTATATTGGAAAACATACATTCAATTTGCAGTTTATTTTCTTAGCTCACTGTGATCTGCTTTTGTTATAGTTTTTTCATTTGATAACTTGCACGAGTGGGATTCATAAAATGCAACAAGTCAATTAATTTTCAAATATTTAATGAGCACAAGAGAAATATACATATTTCTCTGTGGAAGAAAAAATTGTTTAAGCACTAGTAAGCATTCAACTCTTTTCTTCTTGACTGTAACTAAAAAATTCTCTTCTGCTTTCCTTACAAAACCCATGGCCATTTATTTTTCAACTGTGAAATGTGTCTCAAATTTTCTATGTATCTTTCCTGAAAATACATTCCCTAATTAAATGACAGAAAACAAAAAAGTTATAAAATCCATGTAGATATCTAGGATTGCAGATCATCAGATCTTCCTTTCCTAGGAATGTGAAAAAAGGAGTCAGAGCTCAGCTCAGAAAGGTATTCAAGAATTTTACATTCCAAAAAACATCACTCAGGCCTTTTGCAGAGGGAGATTTATCAGTCTAAAAAAGTGAAGCTTAATTTGGACATGTCTTATTAGTTGCCCAAAGCATCTTTCAGTACTGAGGGTCCTACTTTTGAGTCTTAGAATGGGGAAACTCTGAGCTTCTTGGGTCTTGTTTTTCAATACCTCAGATTTTCCTGAAGTGAGTTGATGTTTACAGTGCTTCCCAAATGTTTGCCTATGAGGTTTTGTAGTGGCAGTCATAAGCAAAAAGCATGTAGAAATCACAATGTTTTGGAATTATAGCACTTCCAGACAATGCCCTTTATTTTGCAGCACTGCTGCTTGATCATCAACTATAAAATCATACTTTAGAGAGAACAAATAAGCCATCCAAACCACTGAATATTTTTGCTCAGGCAGTTACAATATTTTTTAAAGGGATGGGTTAATCTTTGAACCTTTGGTTCTAAACAAGTTGCATCAACAGAACACACATACTGGTACTACAGAATCAATGAGAAATACCTGAAACTGGCTTTGATCCAACCAAAAACTTTAAACAGTTTAAAGCTCAAAAGCAGACCATTTACCTAAAGTCAGTATCTGTGCAATGAAGCATACTCAGTTAGCTGCTCCACTAAAAACTGAAGCTGTCCCTTATAGACAGTGGCTCTAAGGCTGATGTTTCTAGTCACTTAGTTCCTTAAGCTTCCTCACCAACATTATATGAAGCTGTAATTTTCTGCTAATATTTGACAAGGCATTTCCATCTGTATCTAAAATAGATTTTTGGCATCTCAGTGAAGATAATTCCTTTCTGTTCCTTCTGGCTGCCCACCATGACACTATTCTATATATTGGCAGATAAGAGTTTTCAGGACACTCCTCCACAACACTCCTATTGACTGAAATCAGCACTTAGTTCCTGGTGTTTGGCATTAAGTCCCACTTATAATTTCCAGACAGGAAGTGTTAAAGTAGAAAAAAGTTACATATATGCTTTAGGACAAAGAAACAGCAGGCTAGCTCTACACTCAATTACATGTATACAAAGAGTGTCTCTGTGATACTTAATTATTATATAGGAGTCAATTTGTATACTATAACCCATTGTCACAAAGTCTAGTCTCACTATCAGAAGTGAAAATTGAAAACAGGAATAAATAAGACAAACACCTTTTAAAGTTCTTTATCTTGTAGCATATAAAGACTAATATGTAATATACAGTAATGCATATTGCTATTCAAACAAGGTAATACCAGCCTATGATGATGCTGCAATATTCCTAGGCAGCCACCATGTTCATTTTTACCTCCAATCATCCTTTGAGAGATTAGATAAAATATTCATCTCTTCATCATCTTGCAAAAGACGATATGCCGCACTAACATGGTGATTTTCGAGCACGGACCGGTCATTATATAGAATGGCTGAGTCCGACCTAGCATTTAAAAGAGAACAAAAGAAAGGTTGTTTCCTCCCTGTTTAAAGAGACTCAGAAGTTTTCCATTGATCAGCTGCAGCAATTAAGTCTATAGAACAGATATGAGCATTTTAAGAGTACTTGTAATATTTTGTTAATTGCTGTTACTTCGTAAAAGAAATCTAAAGAACGTTTCAAAGTCTATTTCACCAGATGAGACTCACCTAACAGACTTGTTACATACTTGAAAACAAGTGCTGAAAGCCGTGAGAGATATACAAAGTTGGAGTAGAACCACAAGGCTTTTTCCTAGTTCTTATGTATGTATCTCTGATATTAAAATCTGACTGTACCCAAGTAAGCAATTGCAAGATGCGACCCAATACTGTTTCCAGAACAGCAAACTGGCTGTAAGCAAGATACAGCTCAACTGATTTCTGACATCTGTGTGCTAGACTATGCTGTCTGGAAAAGCAATTTCCAGTGGGATAGAGTAGGACCAAAGGTACTTCATGCCTGATTTTAAGCCCCAGAGCAGAGATCTGTGATTGATGAATAGATAAACTGGTCTGAAGACAAGTTAACAGCAACAGAGGGTGAATATGTTTTGTTACAGTCCTCACTCAGATCTGCTTCATAGAGGGCAGTGTATATTTTTATCCTCTGACACTTCATTGAACGTCTGATGTTCAATGTTAGAAAAATTAAATTACGACTGTCCGTCCTTTAATATTTTTATAAGTATTTGGAAACCCCTAAGATTTAAAATTAAATTAAAAATTAGCAGATCCCTAATTCCTGTATGCATGAAGTTGTAAGAAGAGTAGTGTGGCTTCACCCAGAATAGAGACAGAGACTTCTTTCCACAGTCCCTGTCTTTACTGTGTGTGTGTGTACTTTATCCTGGAAACCATTACTGATGCACAGCACGATTCAGCTAACACACTATAGACATCTATTTTAATTACAGACGTGTAATCTAATTTAATTACAATACATCTTAGAAATGCCCAAGTGTGCAGTGTCAGCTGAGGACATTTAGACATTTTGGCATTTCTACCAGTACACTCCTATTCTCAAAATAATACACAGACATTAGATGTCCAATTATCACTGAAACTAGAGACTTCATAATGTTTGTACACTTCTGAATTTTGCTGCCATCTTCATCTCATTTTCCTCTCTTTCACCAACCCAAAAGTTTTATAAAATACACTGGTCCAGTCTAGTTTGTGATTACACAATTACACTCTAGCAATTTATGATGCTTTTTAAAAGTATTTCCCTGATTAGGTAGTGGTAAGCATATCCCCTAGTTGCAGGTGTGGTTTTCCACTCAAGGAAAAATAGTATGTGTAGTGTTCATGTTCACTGATGAATGCAACAAACATGGCTGAATACCTGATTTATCCCAATAACGTTTGATTCCTCAAATTCAACAAGGAGAAAAAATTGTAAAATTACAGGACCTCCTTCAAAACTTTATCTTCATCAAAACACCTCACTCTACACAGCCGTTTGTCTTTGAAAACTTTACATGGAAATATTTTTGGAACTTTCTTCTTCCTGCTTATCAATACAAAACAATGCTCATGAATTTAGAATGCATGCATTCCATTGTGAATGTTTGAACAAGAGAAAATTAAATGTAACCTGAGAAAGTGAACTTTCCTCCTGTAACACTTGGAAGCAGAAATTCCTGCACTTTTCTAAGGTGGCTGTCCTGTTATTTTCCAAAGGTTTCTCCCTTTATTTCCCAACCCTTCATCATGATGTACAGTGGCCTCACCGTGTCTGGATGTGAAAATTGTTGGTGGTTCCAGTGTGTTCATAGTCATGTACAGCAGCTGCGAAAATCATAGCAAAGATCTCCAGCTCTGTCAGCCAGTGCTGAAAGAGATTACATTAAAATCAGGTAAGTTGTCATTTTCTCAGGCTTTTGTCTTCTAAGGTAAGTTATTTATCCTCTGTTGACAGTCAGTGTTGCATGTCATTACCTTTCCCCTGCAGTCTGCCACCTGTTTTAAAGCAAACTTCTCTGGCTGATACATAAAAGCCAAACCAGTGTTCATCCTGGAACTTCATCTAAATTAACTGAACCTCAGCAAAATTGTTTCAGGAGCTAATAAGGTTTAAGGCAGAGCAAGAGGAAATGTGCCCTTCTGAAAGAGCAATGTTTGAAGAAGAAAAACAAGGAAAACTCAAGAAAATCAGGGTTCATCAAGAGGATGTGCATGTAAATATTTACCACTAGGGTTTGTATTTTCAGTTCAGTTTACCTGAGTAGCAGAGACACAGATACAGAAAAACGTCACTATTTTCCAGAAAACTAAAAGTCTTTGTCAATCTATGTCAATCAGTGAATCATGAGGAGAACTAGGAAGATAACCTCAAAAAATGTACATCTTTTTTTATTTATCATTTTTAAAATCACTTGAGAAAGCCCTGAAGTTTGTGGGATTTTTCCTAATTCCCTAGTCAAAGCCTTATTTTACAATGCTTAAGTCACTTTTGCCTTATATTTATAAATTATTCAGATGGTTTTAATAATTTTTATCTGAGCCAATAAATCATTTTATTGTCTGGTTTTCCACTGGTAGCCCACAAGGAATGTCGTTAACATCAAGCACTTTGGAGTCAGAGGTTTTAGATACTGTAGATGCTGTAAAAATTTTTATGAAATGCTTAAATGTATTGCATTTAGAAAAAGCCTTTACCACAATGATTGGCAAATTCTTCTGTAACACCTCACTGTTAACCTGCAAATATTTTGACAGCCATTCATACACAAACTGCCTTTTAATTCAAATTTAATTCAATGCAATGGCACTAAGTCTTCCAAAATCTATTCTAGACATCTACTATAGCTCAGGGGCCACCACTAGTGTGTTAAGCATGTGCAGGGAAGCACAGGTAACAGTGGGACTCTGCACACAGCAACCTGTCTAGCTCTTTATCTGTGTTTCACAATCATCTCTGCATAACCAGTGAAGAATGGAGCAAGTCTCAGTATTATAGATCCCCTTATATTAAAGATGTAGTTTGAAAATATAGCCCAGAGATATGTTGCACAATGCTGACCATAATCAAGATAGTTCTTGGGTTTGAGTTGTTTCTTTTTGTTTGGTTGGCTTTTTTTTCTTTCTTTCTTTTTCTTTTTTTTTTTTTTTTTAATAGCAAGAGTGAGAGGATGGTGAGGAGTGCAAGAAATTATCAGAAACAGAAACTTCACTGTTTTCTCATATCTACACAGTTGATCCAGGACATGACTGGAGAGCACTGATGGTAGAGAAGTCTGTTCAATTTTGTTTCCAGATGTGACTTGTGAATAAGGAATGATTTCCAAATGATTAAGAACATTAATTCAACTTTCAAGCAACAACTTCTGGCAACTGCAATGGGGGAAAAAATGGAACTAGGGTTTCCAGGCTACATGACTAGATCTGGACTTTCATTGCTAACAGGGATCTGCCATTTCCCAAAAGGAGAGACTGCAAATGATAGAAAAAAATCATAGCACAAGTGCTCAGAAACAGCCAGAGCAAGCCTCTATTATGCCTGATGTTTGAGGTTTCCTACCTTGTATCTTAAAGCACATATAGGAGAAGTGCTGACTTGCATACCTTACCAAAGCATCATTTGTTGAACAATTTTGGGAAAGGTAGGTTTTCTAATAGATTGTATTAGATATTATTATTAGCAGTATCGTGTATTAGCAGTATTAAGAATCATAACAGCATTCCAGGAAGATCACCCAGAATAAAACTGGAATTACAGCTGTTAATTTTTGGTAATAAATAAAGCAGTGCAAGTAGAACAAAGTCAAAATGGGTTTGGGAGTAACACAAGGGAAGTAACTGGAACCTCTTAGTCCCTTTTTTCGTGCCACAACCTTGCAAGAGAAAGCAAAGAAGATGGCAAAGAGCCTGCAGAGAATGGATGCAATCTCCGTCAAAGTGCTGACTTTACATTTCACTGCTTTGTGGTGGATTTTGTCTTGGAGACAGGGACATAATTTTTAAAGAACGAAGCCACAAAGAACAGCAGGACAGTGTCACAAAAGATAAAAAGAGCAAGGAAATGTGAATGGTTTTTATTTCTAAAGGGCTGACAATATCAATCCAGAATATAACCATATCAAACTTTCTGCAATGGTAGGAGGTCAGAAATGGCAAAGGGTAAAAGACATGAAATACCAAGTATTGGCTTCCAGAATGAAAAAAAAAAAAAAGGGCAAGGAAGCATGATTGCCTTTCCAAAACATAAAATAAATGTGAAGCATTAGCTACTAGGGTGGCTCATTTGCATGTAAGCAAAAGGATTGATGAATGTAGAAAGAAGAAGAGGAAAGTATAGTGTTTCCAAATATAACAAAAAAAAAAAAAAGGCATTTCCAAGAAATTGCTACAATGTAAATAATTAACTAGTTTCCTTCCCAAGAGTTTATTAACTTTTATTCCAAAGCAAGTATTATTTTCAAAGCTTATGATGATCTTTTTCTTAATCACAATAGGCTAGTGGGGAAAATGATCTCGCTTCCCTTTAGTACTAAAAGATATGACAGAAGTCCTGCACTTCCACAGTTTTCAGGTCTGCTGTAGTAAATAGTCTCCTGTAATTCTTGTCAGTATCAGAGAAAGAAGTCTTAAGCTTTACAATTTTCCCATCATTGTCTAGGTTAAAAAAGAAATTGTGGTATTTCCAAACAGTTTTAAATATTAATCAAAAAACAATACCAAAGAAAGTAATATTCAGAGCTGAACAATAGAGTTTAATAAAGGAAGGAATGAAATGAGCATAAAGTGTGTCAGCTCTTGGAAGCTGTTCCTGCATATCATGCTTGTATGCCAATCCTCTATAACATAAACATCAGATTAATTCCAAACTATCTTTCAACATTTTGTCTATGAGAGAGCCAAAACTTTGTAGACCATACAGTAAAGTATAACAAACTAACTCCAAAGCATCATCCTAAGGGAAAAAATAACAGGAAAGCTAATGAAATTTTATGAAAGGAGAGAGAAAGAGATTTAATTGAAATTTTTTTTTTTAAATGAGGGATGAAACAAAACTTTTCAGTGAGTTCGTAAATAACAGAGAGCATGACAAAGGCAAATGAACCATGTGAAGACAAACAAGAAACGTTTCTTACTTTTAAAACTAGAACAAATTTTAAGTATATAGACTATTTAAATGTGAAAAAAGCAATTTTTCCACATTACAAATAACTAGTTAGCAAGAAAAATGAGGGAGTTTTTTTCCTATTTTTGTATATAAATTTGTCACAAGTGGCTTTCATCCCATTGGTGAAGAATTAAACCAATGGCCGTAACACACTTCTCAAACCAAAATCTTGTGTTCCAGCATGTCCAAGTTGCTTACATAAATACTGTAGAAGTGATGAACTGAAGAACTATACATACTACAGAAATGATAAGATACTGGTGTGAGCAAATCCTGGAAAGAGGAAAATGCCTCTTACATTTCTTCACTGTGTGTAACCATACCATGAATGCAAGAAGCTAGCCCTGCTGTGAGCAGGACATTAGGACTGATGACTTCTCATTTTCAAACTACTACTACTGAGATTGGCTGTGTAGTTCAGGGAAGGTGAGGTGAAAACAAAGAAGAAAGAAAAAAACTAAAACCAAAGTTTAAAAAAGCATTTAAACAAGAAAAGCACAGCTGAAATGTCACAGTGCTGCAAGTTTGTGGTTTCCTATTGTGCTATATTAGATCCTAAACCAAATTACAGATATGATTTGGGTGTGGGAATGATTAGTGCTTGGGAATATTCCTGGGAAGCAGAAGACACTTCTCTGGACTACAGCTCCATCATGCTGGTTTGCATGGGCTACTGTGTGTGTAGCTAACTGCAGTAAGAATACATGGGGACAGAGTGGCTGGACAGCAGCCCAGCAGAGAGGGACCTGGCTGACAGCCAAATGAACATGAGCCAGCCATGTGCCCTGGTGGCCAAGAAGGCCAATGGCATCCTGGCCTGTATCAGGAACAGATGTGATGTGTGGCCAGCAGGAGCAGGGAAGTGATTCTTTCTCTGTACTCAGCACTGGTGAGGCCACACCTTGAGTCCTGTGTCCAGTTCTGGGCCCCTCAATTTAGGAAGGATGTTGAGATGCTTGAGTATGTCCAGAGAAGGGCAACAAGGCTGGTGAAGGGTTTGGAGCACAAGTCCCATGAGGGGTGGCTGAGGGAGCTGGAGTTGTTTAGCCTGGGGAAGAGGAGGCTCAGGAGAAAGAACTTTTGACTCTCTACAACTCTCTCAAAGGAGGTAGTAGGCAGGTGGGGGTCAGTCTCTTCTGCCAGGCAACCTGGTACGGACAAGAGCAGTCTTAAGCTGCACCAGCAGAGGTGTAGGCTGGATATTAGGAACAAGTTCTTCACAGAAAGTGATTGGGCATTAGAATGGGCTGCCAAGGGAGGGGTTGAAGTCACCATTCCTGAAGGTATTTCAGAAAAGACTGGATGTAGCACTCAGTGCCATGGTCTACTTGATAAGGTAGTGTTAGGTCATAGGTTGGACTCGATGGTCTCAAAGGTGTTTTCCCATCTGGATGATTCTGTGATTCCAGATCTCCTTTTCCTCTGAAACAGAAGTTGGTTTAGATTGGTTTTGGGGGGGTTATTTTGGGGTTGGTTTTTTCTTTCGTTTTAGTCTGCTGCATTCTCTCAGAGGAAAAGAAGTCCAAATTTCTCCACTGCTTATTCAGGTATTTTCAAGTCCTTCTGATTCTCTCTTTTTTAACACTTTCCTTGCTTTATTGCATTCAGAGTCAGGATAGGAAATCCCATTCAGCACTGGTGCATCATAAACTAGAATGAAATAGTAGTCATTTTTTCACTAAGAAGCAGCAAGATGGGAAAAAAAGGTAATTCTGAACATACACGGGATGGAGGTCAGCTATATTTGGGCAGCTGTTTTAACTCAGTAACCTTTTGGAGCAGAGTAGCTTCACATGAAACTGTCCTTCTTCCATGGTTTGAAGAGAAAAAGGGGATCCATTTCCTCACCACTAGAATACAATTCACATTACTCAACATTACACCTGCTCCTACTGACTGCAGCCTGCAGTGCACTAATGGTCCTAAAAAGCAACAGTGACCAATTTAGTATTTCACAGGAGGTTTTGAGTAGGTAACTGTATTAGCTCCAATTCTGACCTAATTTTTACTTCAGGCACAATCAGAAGTAAGAGACACAATTTACATCAGGATGAGCCTGTCTGAATCAGTTCTTGAGACAGATAGCACCTGACTCCTTCCAAATCTGCCTCT